ATTAAAACAAGGTGGACATTTCTTCTTTTTCTTCTTCTTCTCTCTCTCTCTCTCCCCCCCCCCCCCCTTTTTTTTTCTTCTTCTGCTATTTTCAACTTATTTGTCTTTGTCTTTTTTTTTTTTTTGCGTTCTTAAGTTTTTTTGGTTTTTTTTTTTGGTGAAATCATATAAACTTTTCGGTTGATGTGTCTTGCAAAGTTTGTAATTTTTTCTTGTTCGACTTGATATTTTTTTCTGAGGCAGATTATATCGCTGCTTAGTTAACTGTGCTATTTGTTTCTATAATTCTTTAATTATGCTTTATCGTTTAACTCTCGCAGTCCCGATTATTTGTTACTTCAACACTGTCTTCTACTTTTTTTTTTTTGAAATGTACATTAGAGAAGTTTTTGTACTTTAGAGCAGCGATTTTGTAATATTGCTGAATTAGAAAATATTTTGGGGATAAAAAGAATAATAGCACTGTCTGAGACAAAGTGTTTTTTTTTTTTTTTAAACTTAACAACAGATCAGAACGAGCTAAAAGAATAATAAATGGACTGTGAGTTGAGGCTGAAAGAGTTGATAGTGTCTTTTTTGGCACTTATAGAAAGAAGTAGAAAGAAAGACTCAATAGACAACATAAATACGAAAGATATAGTTACAGTGCCGGGAGTTGAACCTGTTACCTCCAGATGGCGTGTGCTATGGAAATAAGTGTACTAACAAAATTGACCAACTGTGGATTTCAAGCTGTACGATAGACATGGCAATAAAGATAAATTTTTGGGGGCGGAGGCGGGTGGGATGCCGAGTTGGTTTTCTTTTTAGCACTCTTGTTTCCATAGCGAGGCCCACAGGCCATTTTAAGGTGACAGGTTCGATTTCCGGCACGGTAACTATAGCTTTCGATTATTATATTGACTAACGTGTTCTTCTTTTTTTCTACTTCTTGAGATGTCAGTCAATACATTGTCTGTTTGTTTACTGTATAGTATTTTAACGGCCTCAAGGGTCTCCTCACTGTTTATTTATGTGAACCCCTCGTACTGCACATAAAACGGATGCAACCATCGAGATCCTACACTTTATATGAGTGTTTTAGCGTCTTCCGACCTCAACAGACACAGCTCCAAGTTCTTACCAAGGCTTTAGACCACTCAGAAAGGACAGACCTTTACATCAGACGAAGCGATGAAACTAGTGGGACCTCGAGTAGTTACCCTTGTGAACCAAGGATTTCTCTTCCGCTGAAAAAAAAAAGCATGAAAGAGAGAGAGAGAGAGAGAGAGAGAGAGAGAGAGAGGGGGGTGGGGGGGGGGCTGTATGTAGTGCAACAGCGCAATATTGTCGTCAATTACATCTCGAAAACAGTTTGAAGAGACAACTTCGAAAGGTTAACTTGGGACTGGCTTACTCATCTCGTAGGAAACTTTAGCATCAGAATACGAGGCGCTGTCCTAAGAATACCATTCAGAGATTAGACATTCACCCTTTCTTGTTATAATGTCGTGTATATCTAACACTAAATCTCACGATTTCCCTTGCAAAGCCACCATTTCGTCTTGTTTCTATCCGAAAGTTCGATCAAGTGCAGTAGAGGAAGATCGGGGCCTAACGTCATGCTGCAGGTCAATTCACATTCTGAGATTTTATAGGAAGTAATGGGCCAAAAAAGTCGTCCATGAGGGATCTTTGTAACTGACGATCGGTAGACCCCTGCTGTGCGTGCTCCCCTGTAGAGTTCTTATGTTATAGTTCTGGTGGAATTTTTAAAAATATACTTCTGCAGATAAAATTTACGCTCACATACGAGGCAATTGAAAATGTGTGTGGTGCCTCCTCCCTTTGTGATGCCCTAAGCACATACTTGGCGTACTTAATGGTTATGATATTGCACCGAGCGTTCCCCGTTCCTTTCCTAGAAAGTTGGTTTTGCTTTGGCATTCTAAAAGTCACATCTTTAAAACATGATTGCGTATTCTGTGTAATGCTGAGAGTGACCGTTTTACTTCCCTTTCATTCACTTCCTTGGGTTCGTGTTTTAATGTTGTTCAGTTCGCCTTTTGCTTAGATCTGTGGGGATTGTCACTATAGCTCTGGTGTTTAACCTTTGTGCGATGTTTCTAGTAGGTAGCCAGCCACTCTGAGGAAATCAATAGCTTTCTGCTCCCATATAAACCTGAGAGAAGGGAAGGGGTAAGGAGAGAGAAAGAGAGGGGACAGAGAGGGAAGGGGTAAGGAGAGAGAAAAAGAGGGGACAGAGAGAGAGAAGGGGTAAGGAGAGAGAAAGAGAGGGGATAGAGAGGGAAGGGGTAAGGAGAGAGAAAGAGTGGGGACAGAGAGAGAAGGGAGACAGAGAGAGAGGAGAGAGCATGGACAAATATGTTGAGAATTTCTTGTCACATTTACCAGAATGCCCATATAGAAGCACACAAATGACATATTCTCGGCACACTGCAATGCAACAACCTCCCAAAAGGCCACAGGGTTGCCTAACTGAAATGTTTCCTGTCAGGCCCCTAGTGACATTTCCAAAATAAGTATACTGCTGGTAAACAGCCATGTACATTATTTCCGTATGGACAACAAGCTGATTCAAGAGATGACGGGGTATTTAAATTAGGTCCAAGCATAACTGACCTTTGCTCCCAGATTGATCTAGCCCTAAATGAGTATCATGTAAAGTCTTGGGAAGTAAAGGTGGCCGGGTAATGCTGACCACATCACTCACAGAGTGCCGATAGATCTATCAAATAGGTCTAGCCCGATATACCCACTATGTCTCAAGGCGTGGGGAAAAGGTTCCTTTACTTTATAAAGCAATCCCTAATCACGAAAGATGGATGGTGGCCATAAAGGGTGGATGGTGGCTATAAAGGGTGGATGGTGGTTATAAAGGGTTGATGGTGGCTATGAAGGGTGGATGGTGGCTATGACAGGTGAATGGTGGCTATGAAGGGTGGATGGTGGCTATGAAGGGTGGATGGTGGCTATGAAGTGTAGATGGTGGCTATGAAGGGTGGATGGTAGCTATGAAGGGTGGATGGTGGCTATGAAGGGTGGATGGTGGCTATGACAGGTGGATGGTGGCTATGACAGGTGGATGGTGGATATGAAGGGTGGATGGTGGATATGAAGGGTGGATGGTGGATATGAAGGGTGGATGGTGGATATGAAGGGTGGATGGTGGATATGAAGGGTGGATGGTGGCTATGAAGGGTGGATGGTGGCTATGAAGGGTGGATGGTGGCTATGAAGGGTGGATGGTGGATATGAAGGGTGGATGGTGGCTATGAAGGGTGGATGGTAGCTATGAAGGGTGGATGGTGGATATGAAGGGTGGATGGTGGATATGAAGGGTGGATGGTGGATATGAATGGTGGATGGTGGATATGAATGATGGATATGAAGGGTGGATGGTGGATATGAAGGGTGGATGGTGGCCATTGAGGGTGGATGGTGGATATGAAGGATGGATGGTGGATATGAAGGATGGATGGTGACCATGAAGGGTGAATAGTAGCTGTCGCCTGACATGGAGGACCTGGAGATAGACACTGAACATACACAAGGTGATTCGACTCGAAGAGAACGTTGAGAGGCCCCAGAAAGATCCTTTCACATGCTGGGGGGTGGGGGGGGGCCTTAAGAGCCTTAGCCTTGTTTAAGTGCAGAAAAATAATAATTTTTTTGTTTTTTTGCTGAATGGCAAATAGATATAATATATTCATAAATAGTATAAATGTATAAATAAATTCCTAAAACTTCTGCAGATGGTTGTGGTGGGAGCCTCTTTACAAACTTTTCTAGGGGGTAGGCTTTAGCCAGCCTTTTTCCCTAGAGTGGGGAGGGGAAAGGAGCTTTGCCCTCAGGATAGGTGCCAGTTGAAGTACATAAGGGGTGTTTATGACAGATAGCTAAAGGCGGTACATTAACTCGGTTAGGGAATAGAATGTAATAGTATCGAAAGGCGCAGATATAGCAGACTAGCTGTAAACCACACAATGTGCCAACTGCCTTTTTATATGTGAACACAGAAGAAGAAGAAGAAAAAGAAAATTTTTTGCACTGTGATAAGTTTGTCTCCCTGTTTAGTATGTTGAAGGAGTCAACTGGTGCACATGATAAGTTTGTCTCCCTGTTTAGTATGTTGCAGGAGTCAACTGGAGCACATGATAAGTTTGTCTCCCTGTTTGGTATGTTGAAGGAGTCAACTGGAGCACTACTGAGATATCTATGTGAAATGAAAATGATTTTTTATATTAGCACAAACTGAGTTAGCCCCATGCGTGTACTAAGGCCCACTTTAAGATGACTAATTGGGGATTTTCCCTCTGAAGTTGGAGCCCACCTGCATGACAGGCAAGGAAACAACGCCTGCAAACAAATAGGCCAGATCTGTAAAACAGATGTGCATGCAATAAAATAAAGTTCCAGAATAAGACTAAAGTCCAAAAGTGGATGAACAACCAGAACTAAAGTTTACAGCCAGTGAATGCTAAAAAGGCGATGCTTTCATATGCTCAGGTCAAACCATCAGGTAGGTTGCCTCTGTGAACTTGCATGTCAGCTGCAGGTCCTTTATGGTCCCCCATAGCTTGCTCTGCACACTTTGCTCTTAAGGTCAGGTGTCTTTTCAAAGTTGTATGTGGAGTTGGCAGGTCTGCAGAATATGTTCAGGTGTTTGTGGTCCCATCTGACATGAACACTGGGGACTGTACAGTATTTATTTGATGCTTTTTGCAGTTGAGCCTGTAGTGTCCTGTTGTTAGTTGGAACATTTTTGTATGTTGCTTTCAGGTGAGTCTGCTGATGGGGTCTTGTGGGTGTTTATTGTTTGTTTGTTCTCTCCACAATTCCGTGTATTTTCCTTTGATAGGTGTTTTGATTTCTGGAGATGACTGGAGCACTGTGGCAATATCCGTGTGAAATGAAAATTCCCTTCTGAAATGAAAAGCCTCTTTTACAATAGTACCAACTAATTATTTTCATTTGTTTGTTTGTTCTCACTTCTGTAGGTGTCGATGTGTCAGCAAATCAAGATGCTGAAGAAGACACGAACAATGAAATCTTTCAAATGGAGCTGATCATTCCTGAATCAGAAGATTGTCAAGGCAGATGGGCCTTCAGAGCTGTCAATAACACTTACTGGACCCAGGAGACCCATGGTGGGGTCCAAGCCACAGCCAAGGATCCATTGTAAGTTACTAACTAAAATACAGAATTAAACAATCACACATGATACACTGGTTGGTGGTAAATGAAAAAGAGGTAATCACACATAATACATCAGTTTGTGGTTAAAAGAATAGTTAATCACACATGATACACTGGTTGGTGGTAAATAAAAAAGAGGTAATCACACATAATACATCAGTTTGTGGTTAAAAGAATAGTTAATCACACATGATACACTGGTTGGTGGTAAATGAAAAAGAGGTAATCACACATAATACATCAGTTTGTGGTTAAAAGAATAGTTAATCACACATGATACACTGGTTGGTGGTAAATGAAAAAGAGGTAATCACACATAATACATCAGTTTGTGGTTAAAAGAATAGTTAATCACACATGATACACTGGTTGGTGGTAAATAAAAAAGAGGTAATCACACATAATACATCAGTTTGTGGTTAAAAGAATAGTTAATCACACATGATACACTGGTTGGTGGTAAATAAAAAAGAGGTAATCACACATAATACATCAGTTTGTGGTTAAAAGAATAGTTAATCACACATGATACACTGGTTGGTGGTAAATAAAAAAAGAGGTAATCACACATAATACATCGTTTTGTGGTTAAAAGAATAGTTAATCACACATGATACACTGGTTGGTGGTAAATAAAAAAGAGGTAATCACACATAATACATCGGTTTGTGGTTAAAAGAATAGTTAATCACACATGATACACTGGTTGGTGGTAAATAAAAAAGAGGTAATCACACATAATACATCGGTTTGTGGTTAAAAGAATAGTTAATCACACATGATACACTGGTTGGTGGTAAATAAAAAAGAGGTAATCACACATGCTACTTTAGCTGGTGGTCAAGAGAAATAGGTAATCACACATTATTTATTGGAAGCTGGCTAAAAAGAATAGTTAACTCCAAAAGACACACTGGTTCATTGAAAAAAGGGAATCAATAATTACTTAGTGACTGATGTCCATGAAGAATAGTTAAACAAGATACATTAGTTGTTTACCATGGGAGTTCTGGGCCCATCTTGAGAGAGAGAAACAAAAAATAGACGCGTTGCGCCCTAACAAGCATATCATAGGAGGTAAAAAGAGCTGTTTTCTTTGAAGTCGGTCTGCAGCTACATGAGAGGCGAGGAACCAACAGTCTGCAGGTAAATAATCCAATTCTGCAAAATGGATGTGTAAGCAAAACTCAAGATCGGAAACAAGACTGAAGTCCAGAAGTGAATGAACAACCAGAACTTTCCATTGGAGTTTACAGCTGGTGAACATGAAGAATAAGAGTGTCCTCTGGTTTTCCAGTCTGTGGGTGTTTAAAAACAAAGGCCAGTATAATCTAGATAGCAATTTATTTGTTAAATCCTTTATCACGAACTTACTGTTTTTAGTTAATTTGACACCTGCTACTGCATACAGATTAGAAAATGTCTGCATCAGCTTAGTGCTGGAATCATGCAGCTCCAATTTAATTAGAAAGAAATTTTGAGCAGACCATCAAGACATTTCTGTGGACCACAGGGGGTCTGAGTGCCACCGGTTGAAGAACACTGATCTAGACTACAGTTACACATGAGCGATACTGCTAATTAAAAATAGAAAGTAAAGTAAAGGACACTTTCAGTATCAGTAACACATCAGTCACATCAGTCACATCAGTCACACCAGTCACATCAGTCACATCAGTCACATCATGGTAGACATACTTTTGTAGATAAATCAGCCAAAGCTGTTTCGATCTGTGAGCCAAGGTAAAATATGTTTTAAAAATGTGTGGTGCGGATTCCAACACAAACTTCAGGCCAGGGGATAAGCAGCTAACCACTGCTGCTCTTGATACTACTAGTTAAGATACTTCTTCTTCTGCTCGTTATTTCTCAATGGAGCACAGGCCTTCAACCAACACATGCCAAGTCTCCTGATCCTTTGCTTGCAGCTGACCCCATGTCTTCCCTGTCTTTTTAACCTTATTCTGTAACTTCCTTCTCTGTGTATTTTTTGGCCTGCCTTTACTTCTGTGCTCCTGTGAGTTCCAGAATTAAGATACAGCCTAACGGGAAAAAATTAAATAGTTGTTAGAGTACAGATCCTTACACCCTGTTTGGTCAGATATTTCTGAATATTTTCTCATTTATCTCCCTTTGCAGAAAACCGGATTGCCAGTTTGTGGTTGAATGGCTTGGGGATGGTACGATTAGTCTGAAGGCTAACAATGGACACTACATCCAGAGTCGCCAGACTGGACAGTTGGTTGGAGTCAGTAATGCTGTAACCAACAAAGAGAAGTTTTATGTCAGAATTGTCAACCGTCCATTACTGATTCTGAAAAACGATAATGGGTTTGTTGGGCTGAAATCTCTAACGAAGCCAGAAGTCCAATGCAGTAGAGGAAGTTATGAAGTCATTTTTCTAGAGCCTAGTAATGATGGCCATTACTTTTTGAAAGGTAAATAATTGTAAAGACAAGTGTAATTATGTATTTAATATACTCTGTGTCAGAATTTTCTCATCAAGTGAGTTACTTTGCATTTGTTTAACCAAGCCTGTATCTTGCTATTCCTTATGGGAGTTTTGGTCAAGGTAATGAAAACTGAGCCACTTCCCCGCATATAATAAAAGATAAACTAATTAGGGTTTGTTCAAATTGGACAAGTTGGCTCAAAGGCACAGATATTGCAGTCTAGTTATAAACTACAGTGCAGTGTGCCAGATTCCATTTTAAGGGTAGCAGCAGAAGGAAGAGATGCAGAAATATCTAAGTATATCTCATTTTTCTCATTTCAACGTGCAATTTTTAGACAGTGAGAAAAAGGAGGAGGAAGAGTAGTAAGATCAGATAGAAGACAACAGAGATAAGATTTTGAACAGGTTGAATCATGGCATGGCAAGATGTTAGCATGGGGATCAGTGAGGATATCGGCACAGCACTCTTGACAAATCCACAAGCGTTCCAATCTCCTCCTCAGAAACTCTAAAGTATCAAACAACTGCTGACTGTTGAATAATCTGAAATCTTGTCCTCTTAGTGAAATTTTCATTTCTTGCAACTCCCCATTGCACCCCCATGTCCATCAGTCTAGACAGGGGTACATAATCATTCCCTTTGCCATATTTATCTTCGTAGTAAGTGCTGCACATGGCATTGATAACATCGTTTCTATTCAGTACCAGACCAGCCATAGCAACCGCTGTCTCTGCAAGATAATCTGCAGGTTTGTTGCCTTAAATACTTGTATCACTTGGCACAAAGATCAAGGTTAGGTCAGACATTCATGAAGTGCTAGTGATGCAGTCAATTCTTGTCTTAATGTCAGGAAGTGAAAGCACTTTACTAATGATCATTGTTTGTGTCTACATACTGACCATTATGAAGAACATAGGCAGTATATTGAGAATAGCCCATTGCAACTTGTCCTCACTTTTTTCTCCTCCACCTAAGACCTATGTGACTTATGACAATCGGCATCTATGACAACAACAATAAAAGTTGAAGAAATAAAAACAGTAAAGAAAGAAAAGTAACTACACTAATATGTTCAAAAAGTTCCAGGAATTTAGTCAATATTATGTATTGTTCTTTTTTACGTACAATAATTATACATACAGGTAATAAATTTTTGTGTTTTGTGTACAATTTTTATAACCAGCTTGAATGAAAATGTTGAGAAATATGAATTCGACTAAGTCGAAACAGATATGTTGAGGACACGTTGTGATGTCAAGAAAGTATACTTTGTGACATATAACATTGGGCAGAGAGTGGTCAGCGGGTGCTACAGAGGTTAATGTCAAACAGTTGATTCACGACAATTCACGCCCAGGTGATTTGATTATCTATACAGATGGTTCAGTGTTGAGAGGCAAGAAGTGCATGGGGGTTCGCAGCGAAAGCCAATGGAAAATATTTAGCGCAAGACAGCCTAGCATATAATACCACAACATCTAGCATGAGAATGGAGGTGGAGGCAGTAACTGCAGCTCTCCGTTGGCTAGAGAACAAGATGCATACACATGTCGTAATTGTAACAGACTCTCAAAGCATGCTGATATAGGTGAGGACTGGTATGCTTCAAGCAGAGTGGCTAGCTTCACTAGAAAGGTCACGGGGGTGAGCATACTTTGGATCTTTTCTTCAGGCAATGCCGGCGTGGTGGGTAATAAAAAGGCAAGGCAAGACGGACTTTTAACCAGATTGTGACCCGTACATCAGTATTGGAACTCTGCGCTGGCTGCTGAAGATGAGGACGGAGCATGCATGGAAATGCCCCAAGTGCTGTGATGTCAATTCTTGACTCAACTCAACTGTGTGACCCAGTTAGTGACTTATAAACCTGTTCACTTGCCTTATCCCCTTTCATGAAGTCATCATCTTATTTCTGTTCTAGGCAGCAACAACAAATACTGGAGACTGTCAGAGAATGCATCTGTTGCAGCAAATGGAGAAAGTCCAGAACCATTTCTCCTGGAACCAAGAAGTCCTTCTGTTCTAACCATCAAGGCTCCAAATGGCTGTTATATCAAAGGAGAACTGAATGGACTTTTCTATGCTGTAGCTCAAGCTGTGGACTCCAGCACGCTGTGGGAGTATTAGTGGAGACAACATTCATGTATACTTTCTTGTCCATTCTAGTTAAAACACAAGCAGCAAATTATGATCTTTACACATTTTTTCATTAAGGAGAAGTAACTCTTATAAATAAGGACATACAACTCTGTCTGTTTTATCATTTTTAAATTTTTGTAATTCACATGAAACAATGAAACAGCATGTATCTGTTGCAGTTAATTATATAGTCTGCTTACGCAACTTTTATGAAAGCTTTTTTTTTAACCTTATGTTTTCCTTTTCCACTTTTTCTCTTAGTAAATAAGTAAATGAAGTAGGAATTCCATGTATAAAGTGTCATTTTAAACTACAGATTTTTGAACCACTCTTCTTTTTCTTCTTCTGCCTTCTATTCACAAATGGTTATCAGGTTATGGGACAAATAACGCTGCTTCTGGTGCATAGAAAGATACCTCTGTCAACCAAAGCAGATCTCATAAGAATGGTTTTTTGGCCAACACTGTGCTACCAGTGCCAAACATAGACCCTTTCGACAACTAATGAGTGGAAGATTTAACAACTGAGATAAGATGTCTCTCGAGAGCTGCCGGTGTGACAAGAAGAGATAAAATCAAGAATAAAAAAATTAGAAAAAGACATTGACTTAAACCAGTCATACAATTCATTAAAGAACAACAAATGAGATTGTTTGGCCACCTGATGAGAATGCCCTGGTACCAACTGCTTCAGAGAGCCACGCTGAAGAAATATAATGAACACAGAGCAAGGGGAAGACCACTCAAGAGATGAAGCAACAACATCAGTGGCAACCTAACAGAAATTAACACCAGCTTGTACAGTGCTATGGAACAAGCACACAAACAATCCTTACAACTTCTTGGCCCTGAGGAACTGCTCAAAATCGGGCCTGGTTAGTACTTAGATGGGGAGTCACTGCGTTATAGTAGCTAAACATTCGCCTGCGGATTGGAAGGTCATGGGTCCGGAAGCAGGACTTTTAAAAAAAAATGACCTTGTCTTCCAGATCAGCCCAGCCTTGAGTGGGTACCAGGTACAGTCCGAGTGGGTACCAGGTACAGACTGAGTAGGTACCAGGTACAGTCCAAGCGTATACCAGGTACAGTCTGAGTGGGTACCAGGTACAGTCTGAGCGGGTACCAGGTACAGTCTGAGCGGGTACCAGGTACAGTCCGAGCGGGTATCAGGTACAGTCCGAGCGGGTACCAGGTACAGTCCGAGCGGGTATCAGGTACAGTCCGAGCGGGTACCAGGTACAGTCCGAGCAGGTACCAGGTACAGTCCGAGCGGGTACCAGGTACAGTCCTGGATAGTGAATGTGGCTGGCGTGATGCTGACCACATCACCCACCAAGTGCCGATTGATCTAAAAATATATGTCTAACCCTATATGCCCAATACGTCTAAATGCATAGAAAAGGGTCCTTTACTTACTTTACTTTTACTGATGCACTCACTACAGAGGTGGTGATGGGCCATTGCATCACAAGAGGGCTCCCAATTGTGGTTCATATTCTTCATTATTTCCAAGGTCCTGTGCCAGGCTGAGGGTTTCTGCTGTCATACTGGTGGCCTTCTGTCTTATTCACCATTAAAAGCCATTTCCTACAAAACAAACTACAGCGCAGCCTCAGGATACAAATTTAATCTGCTCCAAGACTGAACTCTGGTGGCATTAATTTTAATAGGAAAAGGAGTTTCTCATTTTTTTTTTTTGCTGATCAGGAAAATTTAAAATGTTTTAAAGTACCCAAAACTCACCATACGTTTTTTTTTTTAAAAAGTATCCAGAAACCATGAGTTGTTAACCCTGTGACTCGGTACTATGGATATCGCAACCCTTCGGTCTTGATTCCATGATAGGTAGCATAAATCTGGGAGAAATATGGCTTTTCTGCCTACCCCTGGGCGTGAACCCGGACAACAAGGAGTTCGTCACCCGGTCACCATGAAGTCAGGTTTAACCAACTACGTTAGCAAGCCATGCACTGTATGTTTGTTATGATTTGGGTTATCTTCATGGCACTGCGGACACGTCCATAGGTGTTCAGATTCCCCTTCAACATAACATCAGCATCCTGCGGTTAATAGTCCCAGTTGGTTGACAAGACTTTGTGTGCTTCTCGTGCCTGGCTGTCCTTATGTTTATTTCCAATTCTTGCACTGTAAACACAGATGTGGATGTGCTGCTCCCAAAATCTCCCAAACGTCCTGCCTGTCTTATGGCATTACCAATGTTTGCATGTACATGGGCCGGCCCTCTATAACTAAGGCACAGCCAGCTAATCTGTCGGCTCTTTCATTGCCGACGACACCACATGACCTGAAACAAAGATGAAGGTAACTCCATCCACAGTAAAGTTTTGCAATGATTCACTGTCTGCGCACAAAGCCTGCCTTGACCCGCCGGATCATGCTGATGGAATCACTCAGCACACACAGGTGAGAACAGTTCTGCGATACTAGCCACATGAAAGCTCATGTCACCGCCATTACCTCTATTGTCATGCTGCTAGTAGTCATACAGAAAGCACCAAAGGCCTCCTGTACTGTTCTACCTGCAGAGCACTCAGTAAATGCCCATGCACTTTGTTGTCCTTATACAACGGAACCATCTATGTAGATCAGTACATCCGCCCCATCTGATTTTCATACATTTGTTACTTTGTACATCATATACATTTTAAAACTCTTTCAGTGTGATGCTTCACTTGTGTTCACATCTATTCTATGCCAGTTGTTACTTAAACATCTTCTGGATCGCCGCTTTAAATTAATTGTATTTGCAGTCATTTATTTATAATTCTGATGTGTCTGTTTATGTATTAGTTGAACTCATTGAGCCTAGGAAATGACACCCTATATTTCCAAGAACCTGTGTTTATGTAATATCTGTCTGAGACACAAAAGAGTTAAACTACGTGCTAACTTGTGTTATAAAGTGTTTGTGTATGTGAAATACGTATTTGCCAGGGAGAAGTATGGAGTTCAGACAAACCTAAGACAGGTCTAGCAAATCAGTAGAAAGATAAATGTCTACTCAGTGATGCCCAGAAAGAAATTAGATGTGTGGTCTATGATTAGATAGTCAGGCAATTCATTTAAGAGCAACATGAAATGGTTTCTCTATTTCACGAGAAGAATGCCCTGGTACAGCTGTCTCTGTGAAGCACATTTAAGAGCAACATGAAATGGTTTCTCTATTTCACGAGAAGAATGCCCTGGTACAGCTGTCTCTGTGAAGCACATTTAAGAGCAACATGAAATGGTTTCTCTATTTCACGAGAAGAATGCCCTGGTACATGGTTTCTCTATTTCACGAGAAGAATGCCCTGGTACAGCTGTCTCTGTGAAGCACATTTAAGAGCAACATGAAATGGTTTCTCTATTTCACGAGAAGAATGCCCTGGTACAGCTGTCTCTGTGAAGCACATTTAAGAGCAACATGAAATGGTTTCTCTATTTCACGAGAAGAATGCCCTGGTACAGCTGTCTCTGTGAAGCACATTTAAGAAATATAACGAACACCGAGCAAGTGGACATTGTTTTCTTGCACAGGTTCATGAATATGTGTAATGTGTTAGGGAAAATGAACTTCAACAAACTGGGTTACAATAAGTAGAGGTAGAGAGTGAGAAATCTTATTCTGTGAGATAGCAGGAATCCTTGAATAAAAGCGGCTACCACGTCCAACCTGCCACGGAGGCTTGGCTTTGTTTGTAGTAACACCTCAGTTTTTTTTTTTTAACTTTTGGTTGTCCGATTTCCAGTTTAATTGCCGGGTGATAATTTCGTTTGGTATCTGTGAATAGGGAGGGCCCGTTTAGCCTGGGATGGCACTGGAACAGGTATGGGTGGTAGTAATTCAGGTAGTAGGACAAACATGCCTTGCTTGTCTCGGGCTGCGGGATTTCTTCGGTCCAGTGAGCTTTCAGGGTATACATGTTGCCTTTTATACATATGTTCATGCTCTCGAATGTGCTAATTAAATAAACAGCGCTTTAAATTAATTGTATTTGCAGTCATTTATTTATAATTCTTATGTGTCTGTTTATGAAAGCACTAGAGAGTTATTAGTTAGGTTATCTTCGCCACACTCCGGGCACGTCTATAGGTGCTCATATTTTCTATCATATACTTCCAGTGGTTAACAATTATAGTCCTGCGCTGGTTAACAAGACTTCTTGAACGCCCTATGTGCCTCTCATTCCTGGCTGTGCTAATCTTTATTCCCAATTCTTGCATTCTTAGCAGTGATTTGGACATACTGCTTCAAAAATCCTTTGATTGTCCTCTCTGTCTCTGTGACAGTGGTTCTCATCCTTCCTAATGTGGTGATCCTTTAATAGTTCCTCATGCTGTGGCGACCCCTAGACATACAATTATTTTCATTGCTGCTTCATTACTTCAGTGAATATGTGTTTTCCAATTGTCTTAGGTGATCCATGTGAAAGGGTCGTTTGACTTCCAAAAGGGTCGCTACCCGCAGGTTGAGAACCGCTGCTCTAAGGGCATTATCAATGTTGGCGCGATCCATAGTTCGGCCATCTGCAGCTGTAGCGCTGGAGAGTAGAAGAAAGGTACTTATAGTATGTTCGTGGTTAAAGGAAACTCCCACCCCTTCAAGTGGTGGCGGAGGGTGATTATACACAGTTTGTGGTAGATGGGCAGATACAGCTCAGGTTCCCAAGTAAATATTTGCCATTAGTGCATCGGTCATATGATGCTAGCAAACGTGCCGACACATAGAAAACAAGAAGGAGGCTTAGCACTCTTAAAGATTTTGTTGTGCTGGAGAAAGGTTCAACTGATCTAAGTCTTGTTTAAGTGCTAATAATAATAATGATAATGTATGTCATGATAGCCTGGAAAGAAGAGGGATGGAGAGTACAGTTTCGTGGAAACCTCAGCAAGGGTGGATACAAACAAATGAAGATACCTTGACTGTGAAAGCATATAGGGCTGGGAAATTGGCTAGAGAAAATTGATTCAGGCGTGCATTGAAAA